TTCTATGGGAGGTGGGCTCCATTGCTAGTCCGCTAAGATAGTCACCAAGGAACTCCTAAGGCTAGATTATCGGTTCTAAGAGTATGAGACTAAGACCTCACTAAAAATGAGGTCAACATGCACCTAGTGCAAAAAATGTTATTTCTTAGCCATAAATGATCCTTCTTCAGCTCAGTCTGTAGGACCCTCCTTACGACTAGTATCTCTCTCTCATATCCTTGGAGTTTATGTTCCTCATTCCGATCCTTTATTGTTTCCTCCTCACTCTCTTCCTCGATGACACCCTGCTCAGTGAAGGAAACAACTTGACACGTAAGGCAGTTGGAGGCAAAAGAAATATGCATTTTTCATCCTTCTTGAACGAATAAGTATTCTTGAATCCTTCATGCTTAGCCTTCCCCCCCGCCACATCCTCCCCAACAAAATATGGCAAGTGTCCCTGGGTACCATGTCGCACCACACCTATTCCTGTAACTGGTCTTCAATAAAGAACTCGATGAAACACTATTGGTTCATACATATCTCATTTCCCTTTTTCAACCAGCTAGGATAATAGGGCTAAGGATACTTTTGCATGGCCAAATTCAGTTTCTTCACCATCAGAGTGAATACCATAGTCTCATTGCTTTCACCTTCAATAATTAGGTTATAGACCTTCCCTCTCACGGTGCACCTGGTGTGAAAAATGCTATGTTTTATGCACGAATAATCCTTCTTTGGCTGTCTGTAGGACCCTCCTTACGACTAGCATCTCCCTCTCATATCCCTGGAGTTGATGTTCCTCATTCCGATCCTTTATTGTTTCCTCCTCATTCTCTTCCTCGATGACACTCTGCCCAGTAAAGGAAACAACTCGGCTCATAGGGTAGTTGGAGGCTGTGTTTATAGCCTTGACACCTAAAACATCTCCCAACAGACACTATACTGAGTGTTTACTCTTCTTGGGCTTATTTCCACTTAGATCTATCTTGTCATTCCCTTGTCCAGTCTTCCCAACATCTGATGTAACCTTGTTGGTAGCTACAAACATTGGCAGTTGTTTGAAATAGGGTGGTTGTTTGCTTTATTTCTGCAGTCTCTCAACCTTCAATGCTCTGGTCTTGATATCTCCCAGTGACTAACAGGGCTACATTTAAATAACATTACTGATAGCTGACTTTAGACCTCCCAAATATTTGGCTATAGTATGTTCCTTTGGCTCGACCAACTCACATTTCATTTGAAGCTACTCAAAATGTGTCGTGAATCCCTCTATTGATAAGTCTCTCTGCTATTGGTGACGGAGCCTCAACCACATATCCTAACAATAGTAAGGAGGTAAGTATTTCCTTTGCATTTCCTTGAGAAGTATTTCTTTTTCATTTCCTTCTCTTTTTCTCCCATGTGGTAATCTCATAACTTTTTTCTCTCCTTATTTGTTTATGTAAATTTTGCACCACAAAGAAGCGCTCTTTTTTAATTTGATGGTCACGAGTTTCACCGTCTTGTTTTCTATCACATTTTTATACTCGAAGATTCTCTTAACTGACTGCAACCATTTGTTGAAATCATTTTGATTCATCTCTCCTTCGAACTCTAATATATCCACTTTCACTTTGAATTTTCAATGTCCTCCATACGTTGCCTCCTCTCTCGGGCTCCTTTGAATAAATTCCAAAGCATCGTTGCTTGTCCCCCTCCTCACTGAAGTTCTTCCTATGGAAGGGGGTTCAATTTGTCTCTTTTTCTTCTTTGACTCTCGATATCATGATCAAGGGTAACTTCCCCTTGGGTCTTGTCATCAATCTCTGCAGGCCTCTGTTGAAGTCGACGGATTCCTCGTTGTATATCTTCCCAGGTAGGTTTCAACATAAGTCTCTTTGGTAGCGTGGTTAGGGTTTCAATTGGGGGGAGTGGAAGGGGGTACTGGATTAGGGAACATAAAGATTTCTAGAGGGTGGAGGTAGGTTTGGGGTATGGCGGAGGCTAGAAATCCTATGGTAGGGGTTATGCTAGCTCTCTAAAGTGAACCAAACTCACAATAGGGAAAACGAATATTATTACTCAAAAGCAAATAGGAGTTACAATCATGGACACTTAGAACTAACAAAGATACACGCTACTCAATTAGGGGTGAGGATGATGACAAAGGGTTGTGGTTAAGGGAGTATTAGCAAGAAAAGCAATGGGGCAGTGGTCGGAAGGGGAGAGGCGGCGGCCAACAGGTGAGAAGCTGGAAAAGGGCGGAAACAAGCATGAGGGGCTGAAAGGGGTGACAACGAGCAGGTAAGGGATTCAAAGAGGCAGTAACATGCTGGAGAGGGTTTGGAATGGGCGACAACAAGCAGGTGAGGGGGTTGTCGCCCAGAGAATGGGCAACAACAAGAAGGATAGGGAAGGATACATACTACCTCGGGACGAGTTATAGCTGTAGCACGTTCTGCTGTTGGATACAACTGTAGGAAGAGAAAATGGATGCCAACGACTGTCCAGACAGAAATTTGTAAGAGAAAACTGACTTAAAATACAATAAATAACATATATATAGCGTAAAGGGGAGTGGGCCCCGCTCTAAATAGGATGGAAATGCATGCTAGGTAGGACCGGTGGGTCCTTCCCTTTGACTGGACCGAACTAGTCCCAAACCTACACTACACTTGCTTGATAGGGGAGCGTTGAAGCCACATGTTGGACACAAATATGGTAGCTATGTGGAAGTGTCCAGCTTCATAGGGAATTGAGTTACATTCCCTCCATACCATATTGTAGTGACTTTAGAAAACAAGACTAGTCATTACATTTACAATATTAAAAACATTATGGGTTTCACTATTATGAAGTTCGTGTTTTGAGTTCACAACGTGAGGAGTTGATCCTTGAAATTATCACCTAAAATTCGTTATGACAATGCTATTGTAGCTATTATTTTTCTTTTTTTTATTGTAACATTATAAGACTGTAAAATGACTGAAATTTCGCCAACATTGTTCTGTAAGCCTAGAGTAGATCAATAACTCTGGTATGAGTTTTCATAAACAAAATCTAAATTATACATTGCGCTATTTGGGCTTGCAGTACACCCTCAGGCAGGTAGGCTGGCAGGCATAGATCTATGATATTTTTAGGCTTGTAATGAAAGAGAGATCATTTTGGAATTGGTATGCGCATGCATTTCCACTAAGATAATTAACCACACCGCTATTCAATTCAGTTAAACTTTTCTGTTAAACAGAATTAGCATATTCTTCTTAGATGAGTGCAGATTGTAATTTAGTTCTTTTGCAGATCCATCGCAGATGTGAAACAATTTTTTGAGCCCATAATCCTGCATTTTGGGAAAAGATGGAAATTTCTGCCAACAACCTTAACTATTCTGCCTGAAGATTATCTGATAATCAATGTGAGATTTTTCAGTTCTGATGGAAGATTTTATAATAGCCTACTATTTGCACTCTTCTAAATCATCCATTGATTTGTTATATTTTCATTTTAATAGAATAAAGGAAGTATTTGCCTGGGCATACTTGATGGCAGTGAAGTGCTTGATGGAGGAACTATCATCTTGGGAGGTATTTGGAGTTTTCTCTTACATTTGAAGACTAGCTTTTTTTCCCCGCAGAATGTTAAGAAATTATGTTTTCTTCCATCTCTTTTTACATTAGATGAACTCCAGAAAAATGAAGAATATGTAAAATTGATTCAGTTTTTTAAAAGATTATTCCATTTTAATAAGAAAGGTGGTTTCATATTGTTTTTGTCTTGTTTTATCAAACCCATTTCAATATTTAGGAGTATTCTTGTGAAATATTTAGTGCCTATTTGGGATCATTTTTTATTTTATTTTTATTCTTGTTTTTAAAAATATGTTTTTTGTTTTGCGTATTTTTTACATGTTTATATGAATTATTTAAAAAAAAAAATTCATTTTTTAAACCACTCAAAATTGTTTCAGATCATTATGTATGTTTTTGAAGAGTGCCATATCACTACTGGCCATTGCTGTCTACTTAACTACCATAGTCCCTATTGCTTACCTCCTTCTGCTGCCGATCACAAGTCTCTGTCGTCATCATTGCCTCATTAGCTCAAGAAAGATAATATTATGTGCGGAGACTGGACGTAACTCTACGTTTGGACTCCAATCCAAATTTGACATGTGAACGCAACATACTTTTTAATTAAATTCATTAATAATGGAGAAGCTCGACCCGACCCGACATGGCCCTATACTGGGCTTAAAATATGCTTTGCGATTCAAAATAATACGACAGGAAAAGAGTAAGAATAAAAGAAGAGCAGATAATAAAACAAAAACATGTTGCCGAAACTCTTGAAGAATAAGAAGCAAATAGCAGTGAAGATGTAGAGCAAGCGCAATACTAACATGAATGAAAACGTAGAGTTGAAGGCATCAGTAGATTTATAACACACCTCATTATTGTATCTCCAAAAAAGTCATTCCAGATGTCAATGAAAGTTGTGAGCCATAATTAGCCAACTCTCTTGCAAGTAATGAATGAAACCTATGGGTACAAAAATGTTGTTTTCAAGACAAAGGTACAACATTAGTTGAATGCACAAAATGGACATAAAATCTATAGAGAATCAATTGAAATTTTTCAATAAAAACTTCTGAGTCACAATTATCCAATTTTCTAACAAAGAATAATTTGAAAACATGAAAGATAACAATGTTGAACTCAAGAAAATCAGTGGCACAACATTGTTTTAGTCAAAATGCACATAAAACCCAAAGCACATCATTAAAATATAATATTGAAAGCTTCGAAGTCATAATTAACCAATTTTCTAACATGCAATGAATGAAAATATTGGGTACGTCAATGTTGTTTTTAAGAAAAGGAAGGGTAGAACATTGTTTTAGTCGATAAAGTGCGCATAAAACCTTAAGCGCACTAATTGAAATTTATCAATGAAAACTTATATATTACAATTAACTAATTTCCTAAGATGTAATGATTGAAAACATGGACTACAACTATATTGTACTCAAGAAAATCAACACAACATGGTTGTTCTATAGAAAAAATATAGAACACCATTCAAAATCATTACTGAAAGCTTTTGAGTCACAATTAATCAATCTCCTAGCTTGCAAGGATTGAAAACATGAATTGCAATCATATTATACTTAAGAAAATCAGGAGTACAACATGGTTGTAGTCAATAAAATATTATGAGTCATAATGAACCAATGTCCTTGCATGCAATGAATGAAAACATTGGATACATAAATGTTGTTTTCAAGAAAAGCAATGGTACAACATTGTTTGTCTATAAAGTGCACATAAAACATAAAACCTAAAGAACACCAATTGAAATTTATCAATGAAAGCTTATATGTTATAATTAACCAACTTCTTAGCATGCAATGATTGAAAACATCGATTACGACTATGTTGTACTCAAGAAAATAAAAAAAATATAACATAGTTAACAAATTTTATAGAAAAAAATATTGAACATTTAAAATTATGACTAAAAGCTTCTAACTCACGATTAATCAATTCACTAATTTGCAATGCTTGAAAATATGGATTGCAATCATGTTGTACTCGAGAAAATCAGGAGTGCAACATGATTGTTATCAATAAAGTCAACATAAACCGTAACAAAAGCACTATTCAAATTTATTACATAAAACTTTTAAATCACAAATAACTAATTTACTAGCTTGTAATGATTGAAAACATGGATTACACACACGTTATACTCTAGAAAATCAGAAGTACAACTAGGTTGTAGTCAACAAAGTCTACATAAAATCCAAAAAACATCATTCAAAATTATCACTTAAAGCTTCTTAGTCACGATTAACCATTAGCTTAGTATTCAATGGTTAAAAACATGGATTAAAACTATGTTGTACTGAAAAAAAATCAGAAATACGACATGGTTGTACTCAACAAACATTAAATAAAACCTCTCAAACATCATGCCAAATCATCACTGAAACATTACAAGTCCCAATTAACCAATTACCTAACATGCAATGAATGAAAATGGAAAAACGTTTAGTACAATCATGCTATACTGAAAAAAAGCTGACGTACAACATAATTGTAGAGAATAAAGTCAAAATATAACCTAAAGAACACCATTTAAACTATCATCGAAAACTTTTGAGTCGCATTAAACTTAAATTTCCAAACATAGTACTCAACGTGTTAGCATGTTATAAACCTACCTATGACTTCAACTCTACATTTCATTCATGTTTGTATTGTGTTTGTTCTCTATCTTCACGATTACTTTCTTCTTCTTCTAGGGTTTCAGTGACGTTGTTTCCTTCCATGTTATTTTGAATCACAAAACAAATTTTAAATCTCATATAAAGTCATGTCAGGTCGCGCCTTTCCACTATTAATGAATTTAATTAAAAAATATGTCAGGGCTATGTGTCAAATTCAAATTGGAGTCCGGACGCCCCCACGAAATATGCCATTACGTGCCCACTTCTACGTTTGTAGTGGTCATCAACGCCACGTAAATCAATTTATTCAATATTCAATAAGAATGTATAGGAAAGTTTACATACGTAGCACACAATTCTTATGTATTTACATATCACACACCTTTGGCGTTTTAAACTTATCAAATGAAAAGGTGTATTTCACATTCAAAATGTTGTAATAGTGTTATTTTTGATATGATATTAAAAATTTGACTGCAATATGCATAAATATGTAAGTTTAGGAGTGAGATATGTAAATAAATTAGAATTGTGTGCTATGTAAATTGCCCAAATAAATGTATATATTTAAAATGCTACCCATGCTTTATTTTAAATCAAAATAGAAACCCAAATAAAACTAAAATAGAAAATAATCATAATAAAAATAAAGTGATCTCAAACATCCTCCAAAAAACAAACTAGCATTTTTCATCCCATCCTACTTTTGCAAGTTGATCCCAAGACTCTCTGTAGCGTGCTTATGAACTTTTGATTGCAATTTGCAGATATCTGGCATCGTGGTAGATTGGTTGTATATGATAATGTGCTGCTGAGGATCGGATGGGCTCAATCTGACTGTGTCAAGCCTCAGAAACCCAGGGACTTCCCTTTCCTTTTCTAATACCCATAAAACAATTTCAAAATCACTCAAGTGGGCCCCACGCTGGTAATATTTTATCACAAAATACCCATCATCTTAACGTATAATTCAGCTTTCATATCTCTGATTTGCTGTAATATTTCCATTTCTTTAGGTTTTCTGCCAAAATGCTGCTTGAAATACTTAATTTTTGATGCACCACCATTTTCTTTATCCTAAGGCAGGCCTGTACTATTTCTGTACTGTTCATAACCTGTTTCTACTCTGCAGCTGAATAAATATATGCAGGATATTATCTCCTGCAACGCCAGAGATATCTACAGATTCTGGCAAAGCAATATTAATTGATAATTATTAATATACATTTTATTATGATTATGCATTCATCTGTATCTTATTTTTCTGCGCCAGATTATTGCGCAGACGGCACATGCATCGCGCGTGCGCCGTCCAATGAATTTTTATTTTAAATTAAAAAAAAAAGTTTAAAAGTGAGCTCACTGACATACATTTTTTGGTAAAGGGGAAGTTTTTATTGGCCCACCGCACGTATCTCTACGTGCGGTGGGCGGACACAATAATTTATCCAGATTTAGGGTACCTATCAATTTAGTTGTCATTTTTGTTTATTTAATAATTTAATAATGTTAATTAACAGTTAATAATAAGGTATATTATACATTTTATATTTATTTTTATGATTTTTTTTGTCTAGTAACTTGATTGTTTTCCCATCATTTCTACATGTTTCAGTGTAATGCTGATTTGAACTGTTCCATCTGTAAAAAGTATCCATGCTTCCCTTGTTATATATGTTTTTTCATAAATAAATAAGAAAAGTGGGAAAAAAATTAATTTTTTTATGTAATTCTATTTTAATTGAAAGTAATTTTTATAGAATTGCATAACAAAATATAATTTAGGGTTGTAAACGGTCTGATTTGATTTTTGAGGTGGCTCGAAATTAGATCGAATAGACATTATATGGATCAAAATGGGCTTATGGCTTGATTTGATCCATGTTTGATCCAGCTCGGTTCAAAAAGGAATAATGCCGTCTCCAATTGTAAACGTACCGGCTTGATGTTGTTTTTGGCTTTTGAGCTTGATCGATCCGGCTTAAAATCCCACTTGATCTGTCTCAAAAAAATAATTGTCAACATTAATGCAAAATTGCTTGATTATGCAAAAACACAACCATTCATTATAATGGTCAACACTCAACATAAAATGCAAGTATGCAATTGATAAATAAACCAAATAATCCTAAGAGTGTTGGCAACAACAAAAATATAATTCTCATTTATAGGAAAGGAGTAGAAACCTAATCCATGCAAATCTAAGAAGAAAGTTGCGAGATTGAGGATTGATGGAAGAAAATTACTAATTAAAGTAAAAGAAGGTGAGGTCGGAGAGAAGGATATCAAGCATGAGCGAATGATATAACCAAACATACGAGGCTTGCAAGATCGTCAGTCTGTGATTCTGCTTCTCAACTATCCCATTTAAATGCGTAATCGCATTTGTGTGATATTTATTGATTTGATTGAGCGCCGGTAGATTCGATCTAGTGTCGGTTTGAAATTAGATTGACATAAGTGCCTGATCAAAGGGTGCGGCCTGTAGCTCATCTCTTTCTTCTTTACTCAATTTCAAGCCGAGCTCTAAATATTTTGTTTACTCAATATAACTTCTTATATGTTCTCACCAATTATGATTAAAAATGTTTGAACTCATATTTTTTTTTCACATAATGAATTAAAAACATTAAAAATTCATGGACATTATCTTGAAATCTGTGTAATGAGTGTCTATTTTGCATTATTTCTAAAAAAAAAACTCTATAAAAAGAAAGAAATTCATGTAATAAGAGATCAATGCTCAAACATTTGATATACATTTTCCTTTCCTCAAAAAGTTTGCAATTTCCCCCTCTTCTTGGTACTCATGCAATAAATCATATATAATGATTTATCAAGATAGGATCTACTTGTCAAGATCCCATAAATAATCATTGGAGAGGGCAGCTGTCTAGTTTGGTTTGGGACCCCACATACTTATATGTAATCATTCATAACTACTATAAGCCCCCACCTAATAACTAATTGATTGGCCATTGTTGAGCTTGCTAGTTAAGGAAGATCTTGAAACTTCCCCCAAAATCACCCATGTTTTATAAATTTGAATCAGTTTGATTTTATATTTTGCAAATTTTAAATTAGATTTAAAATGAATATATATATATATATATATATA